CACGCTGGCCTCATCCCCTGCAGACCCCCTACGCAGCCCCTATACAGCCCCTATAGCCCTCCCACCCCATAGGGGCCCTATAGGGCACCCACAGCCCCACGTGGCCCCTACCCACCCCCTATAGCCCTCCCACCCCATAGGGGCCCTATAGGGAACCCACAGCCCCACGTGGCCCCTACGCATTTTGTATAGATCTCCTACCCCATAGGAGCCCTGTACACCCCATAGGGGACCCAGAGCCTCACATAGCCCCTATGGACCCCATAGAATACCCAGAGCCTCACGTGGCCCCTACGGACCCCATAGGGGACCCAGAGCCTCGCAGGACCCCTATGGAGCCCATAGAATACCCAGAGCCTCACATGGTCCCTATGGACCCCATAGGGGACTCACAGCCTCACATGGCCCCTATGGACCCCATAGGGGACCCACAGCCTCACATGGCCCCTATGGACCCCATAGGGGACTCACAGCCTCACACGGCCCCTATGGACCCCATAGGGGACTCACAGCCTCACTGGACCCCTATGAAACCCAGAGCCTCACATGGCCCCTATGGACCCCATAGGGGACCCAGAGCCTCATGTGGCCCCTATGGACCCCATAGGGAACCCAGAGCCTCACAGGACCCCTATGGACCCCATAGGGGACCCACAGCCTCACGTGGCCCCTATGGAGCCCATAGGGCCCCCCGCCGCCCCATAGGGTCTCACCCAGGTCGAGGTGCCCCTCGAGCTGCAGCCCCGCCGCCTGCGTCCCCGCCGCCAGCAGCAGGAGGGGGAGGGGCAGGACCCCCATGGTGGCCCCGGCCCCCCCCGGTCGCCGCACCTGGGGACAGCAGAGGGACACTGGGAGTCACTGGGAGGCACTGGGAGGACTGGGATAGGGACTAGGAGGGAACTGGGAGGATGGGGAGGGGAACTGGGAGCAGTGGGAGGAGTGGGAGGGGGACTGGGAGGGAACTGGGAGGACTGAGAGAGGGACTGGGAGGGAACTGGGGGGACTGGGAGGGGAACTGGGACTCACTGGGATGCACTGGGAGGGCAGCTGGGGGCACCGGGAAGACTGGGATGGGGACTGGGAGCACTGAGAGGACTGGGATCGTTACTGGGAGGAAACTGGGAGCACTGGGAGGACTGAGAGAGGGACTGGGAGGGAACTGGGAGGACTGGGAGGACTGAGAGAGGGGCTGGAGGCACTGGGAGGGGGACTGGGAGCACTGGGAGGAGTGGGATAGGGACTGGGGGGGCACTGCGAGGGGACCTAGGAGCACTGGGAGGGGAACTGGGAGCACTGGGAGGACTGAGAGAGGGACTGGGGGCACTGGAAGGCGGACTGGGAGCACTGGGAAGAGTGGGATGGTTACTGGGAGGGAACTAGGAGGACTGGGAGGGGAACTGGGAGCAGTGGGAGGAGTGGGATGGGGATTGGGAGGGAACTGGGAGCATTGGGAGGGGGACTGGGAGCACTGGGAGGGCCCCATCCCAGCAGCTGCTCGGGGCCCAGAGGCCTGGGCCCCCCCATGGGGCCCCACCCCCCCCGGGCACCCAGGTAACGACACGCAATAACACGCGATAACACGCAATAACACGTAACAACACACAATAACGCCTAAGAACACGCGATAACACGTGATAACATGTGATAACACGTTACAACACGTGATAACACGTGATGACATGTAACAACACGCGATAACACGTTACAACACGCGATAACATGTAACAACACGCAATAACACACACCACCACGCAATAACACGTAACAACACGCAACAACACGCAGTAACATGCAACAACGCGCAATGACGTGACACAATAACACGTAACACATGCAAGAACATGCAACAACACACAATGACGTGCAAGAACATGTACCAACACGCAATAACACGTACCAACACGCAATAACATGCAACAACATACAAGAACACATAACAATACGCAATGACATGCAACAACACGCAATGACATGCAACAACACTCAATAAGACGTGATAACATGCAACGACACACAACAACACGCAAGAACATACGACCCCAAAACACACGACACACAGTGGCACGCAACACGCAAGAACATGTAAGGACACACGATAACGCGTGACAAAATGCAATGACACGCGATAACACGCAACACGCAATAACATACAACCCCGAGACACGCAGCAACACGCGTTGACACGCAACAACGTGCAGCAACACACCTCAATGCGCCCCGACACATGACGCCACGCCGTGACACGCCATGACACACCCCACCACGCCATGACACGCCATGACACGCCATGACATGACATGCCACACCACACCATGACACGCCCCGCCATGACACGCCACACCATGACACACTCCACCACACCACGACACACAATGACACGCCATGACACGCCCCGCCACGCCATGACACCCTCTGCCATGCCATGACACGCCATGACACGCCACGACACACAATGACACACAATGACACGCCATGACACGCCATGACACGCTACGCCACGCACCTGGGCGCCTCTCCGGGGCGGGATCAAGCCCTGACTCCTCCTTTGGATCCCGCGGGTGGCACCTATGGCAGCACCTATAGATCTCGGTCCTATAGGACCCACCCCGGCCCTACAGGTGCCCAGCTCTGCGCACACGTATGTGCGACGTACGCGTGTGCATAGCCGGACACGTATACACCCTCACCTGAACACACGTGGACGTATAGAAACATATATAGTCCCATTTCACGCCCGTATAGCTCCACGTATACACGTGGGCTTGTATATACTCGCCTATACGTACCCGTGCACTCCCACACATATGTAACAGGCACTTTGACGTGTACATTTACATAGACGCGCACGCAAGCATCCATATATATTCACCTATACATACACACGTACACGTTTACGTGTGCGTACACACAAACACGTGCGTCCGCCGGGTTACACCCTATATACAGGCCCGTATGGGCACGTATGTGCTCGTATGGACACGTATGCGCTCCTATGGACACGTATGGGCTCCTATGCGTTAAGCAGGCCGCTATACGTTAGCCGTAAGCGTATATATGTGTGTGGATTAGCTAGATGTGCACGTCACAGGTCTGGATATATGGACGTATGTTAGCTATATGTGCCCGTATATGTGCATATCCACATGCGTGTGTCCGTATACGTATACACTTACGTATGTGCACATATATTTATATATAATACCCATGCGCGCATATATATTCGCATGCATATATGCACATACGTGCATATACAGCCATGCACGTATGGGTTTACCATATATCTCCATGTAAACGTATACATCCACCTATGTAGAACTCCACGTGTCCATACATGCGTACACATATAGGGAGAAGCGCATTATATCCCTATATGCCTGCATTTTGAATGCGTGCATAGGTGCGCGCGTGCATATATAGTGTCACATATATTCCTATATGCACCGTATACAGTGCAGTCTACGTCGCCGTAACCCTATGTGCACCGTGTCTAGCACCTATAGAGGGGTATATAGAGGGCTGTGGATGGCGGGACGTATAGATTTCCCATAGCTCAGACATAAACCTCTCCCGCCCTCCGTGATGGCATCCTATAGGTGCTGTATACATCCAGGGGGCCAGAGGGTGTGGAGAGAGGGGGGTTATGGGGTGTTTAAGGTGCTATATAGGTACCCCACGGCTATACCGCCCCGTGCCTATAGGGGCGCCATATATAAGGGGAGAGGAGAGGCTGTATAGATCTATAGGGGCCCCGGACGCCTATAGCCGCCCGCAGGCCTGCCGTGTGCCGCATGGGGCGGTACGGCGGGTGCCTATAGGGGCGCCTATAGGGCTGCG